AAATGCCTCTAATAAGCAGGGGGAAGAAATGGCAGCGTTATTTACATCACTGTATTAAAAATGAACGGGACCGGCTGAATTGGAAACCGACAAACTGGTTATGTACCTGGTCCGGTTGACTGTATGAATCGAAAAATTTTTTACCACAATGATCCAGGTAGGGCTGTTCACGGGACAGACCCGTCCCGGTTCCGTCTCGATAAACAGTAACGGGACAGAAAATCTGTCCCGTGTCCCGACCCGTCCTGGTCCCGGTCGGGACAAGATCGGACCGGGATGTCCCGGAGTTTTTTTTTAATTTTTTAATAAAATCTGATTTTTTTAATTATATTTTTTTGGGCTTAAACCTTATAAAACATCTTTTTATTTTTTTATTTGTTTGGGCGCTCTTAAACAAAAGCCCAAAATATTACATATAATAGTCATTAAAAACTCTAAACAAAAGCTTTTAACACAATAAAAACTTGCTAAAAATTCTAATCATCAATAATCTCAAATCATTAACAAATATAAAAACTCTAAATAAATATATCCATAGTTCCATACAATAGTCTCAAATCTTAAAAAAATATTAAAAAATGATATTATATAAATAGGATTAAAAAAAAAAAGGAACCAGGACGGGACGACCCCGTCCTGTGTCCCGTCTTGAAAAATTTCGGGACGGGTCCGTCCCGTCCCAATAAGACCGAGACCGGAACGGGCTGGCCTTGAATGTAATATCCTAAAAAAAAAAAAAAAGAAGTAATTGAATAATATAAAATAAAATAAAATAATATAATATAATAATATTTTTATTTAAAAAAAAAAATAACAAAAGTCCAACTTTCCACCGATTTTCAGTGGAAAGTTGGAGAGAGCGTGGAATTTGGGGGAGGGGGCGTGGAAACGTGGGGTGTGGGTTTGACAAAAACCCCTCCCCCAATAATTGTGTGGGGGTGTTAAATACCCCCCCACAACCCATTTTCCCCCCACGGCAAACAAGAAGAAAGAGAGAAAGAGAAGAAGAAAAGAGAGAAAGAGAGGGCCGAAGTGTGTGTGAGAGATAGAAGCATACCGGTGAAGCAGAGGGCAAGCTTTGCAGATATTTTAGGTACATGAAACTATCTCTTTTCATCAGACTTTCTTCATAAATATTTCATATATATTTTATGCTTCATAATAGTAGTATTACCCTAGTGATTAGGGAAAATTTTGAGACTTATATATGATATAAGTATTGAGTTTGACAAAAGATGACTATAGAAATTTAGAAATAAATAAGTTGTTAATTTTAATCGGTTTAGATTTCTCTATTTGCTAGTTTTAGTATTTAAAATTAATTTATTTAGTGGAAAATCTGTTATGTATGAGATATACCATATTTTTTACCGATTAAATTTAAGTTAAATAATTTATTTGGATTGTTTGATATATTATTGAGGTTTTAATCGGTTTAGTTTTATTTATTGGGTGACTGGAGATTTTAAAATAATTATTGTAGCTAAAAAGTTTATTATTTATGGAAAAATATATATGGTAGTTATACCATTAAAGTTTTGATTAGATTATTTATTTATAAATATTTGAAATATTATTGAATTTTTGATAGTTTGATTTTGAGGTTTAAACTTAAATGAGGATTTTTAGAGTGTATAATATAATAATTTTTATATTTAGAAATTGTTGAAAATCCTTTTTATTAAGGTAAATAATTTGGAGGTGGTAAATAAATAATTTGGGGTTGTTAGAAATTTTAAATTGTTGCTAAAATACTTAATAATTTTTGGGTTATGAGAGTTGCGGGAATTTAGAGTAAAAATTTAAATAATATAGAGAAGTTTAATTAATTAATTAATTAGTTTATATTAATATGTGGTTATATTAATTGTGTAGATTAATTATTGGTTGAGCAAAGGATTGACCTTGTGGTAATCCTTAGTATTGCTTTGGCGAGAGGTAACCACTTTCCACTTGTTATATGTGCTAATATGTTGTTTGTGAGTATTTTGCTATTTTTAGAATAATATATGATATTTGGAACTTGAATAGATATGTTATATCTTTTGAGTTATGAAAATTGTCTTGTGGGATTTTTGGAATGCTTATTGAGAAGTTTGGAAGAGATATATGATTTATATCTTATTGATTATACTGAGAAAAGATTGAGACATTTTTATTATATTGTGAATGATTGGTTGTTATTTGGATTTTGGGATTGAGTTCTGTCCTACCACGTGGTAAGGCCGCCATTGGTGCACATTGGTTGGCTTCTTCTTTCGTCCCCCAGCGTGAGGGATAGGCCTTTGTGGCTTCTTATTCGTCCCCCAAAGTGAGGGATAGGCCCATATGGTTGATTGATCCCCCAGAGTGAGGGATAGACTTATGTGGCTTGTGTGTTGGCCCCCATAGTGAGGGTTTGGATAGAGCCGAGAAAACGGGCCGAGCCCATCGGGCCGGCCCGTTTAGGCCCTGAAATTACGAGGGCCGGGCTTGATATTTTTCTCTTAAAATGAGAAACAAGCCCTGGAGGGCTGGCCCTGGAGGGCCGAGGGCTTAAAAGGGCCGGCCCTGGAGGGCCGCGGGCCAGCCCTTTTAAGCCCTTTTATAATTTTTTTTATTTTTTAAATTTTTTATATAATATTAATGTTATTAATTTTTTACATTGTTAATAATATTTCAAATATTTAGTTATTATTATCATTTTAAAATTAAATTTAGTTTTAGACAATAATTTATCCAATTAAATTTTTAAAAAATTAGTTAATTTAGACTTTAATAATGATTTGATTTATATTATATGCGTTGATATTTTTAAACTATATATATATTTGATAATAGAATATTTTTATACTTATATAACTTGTGATTCTATAATTTGAATTAGAAATTCATGAGTTTCAACAACAATGTTTCTCACATTAAAGTAAAATAATAGTTAGATTGCAAAATTCAAAAATAAAATTCTTATAAAGAAGAAAAACTTGATATTTTTGTTGCGAAAGAAAAGCATACTTATGAAGAAAAGTAATTAATTATAGTGATGATGAAGTTTCAAAAGATTAATGATAGTGTTTATTTATTGCACAATTGCATTATAGATAAAACTTTTAGATATTGTTATCTTGTTAATGAATGTTTTAGATGTTCTTAGATGTTAATGAATATTTATATATGATGATATTTTATATTTGTGACTTAATTTTATTCATATTTATGTCTTTTATTAATAATTTCATTGGTTTATTTTTATATTTTTATAAAAAAATTTGATAAATATAAAAAAATAGTATTTTTCCTTAAACGGGCCAAAAGCCCGCGGGCCGGCCCTGGCCCTGTAGCTTAAGGGCCGGGCTTAGTAAATTGGGGTATTTTTAAAATTTCAGCCCTGGAGGGCCGGCCCTTTTAAGCCCGCCAGCCCTGAAGGGCCGGCCCTGGAGGGCCGGGCCGGCCCTGATTCCCGGCTCTAGGTTTGGATGATTGAAATTATATTTCTATGGATATATCTATAGTTCTCGAGAATTAATAACTGTCCCACTTGACACCTCACGAGCACGTGTTAGTATGTATGATGAGTTGGAAAGTTGGTTACTGAGGCGTTTGTCTCACCCCGTGGTTTAACATTTTCAGGCGATAGTTCAGGTGGTGGCCCATCAGGGAAGGCTCCGGAGGCATAGTGTGCTGATTAGCTTGTACAGCCTCCCTGCTTTTGTTTTATGTGCTGACTTGTTATATATTGCCACATAGGGCTCATCTACTATCATGATGTAAAATAATACTTTTAATTACTACTATCTGGTATGATAGGGCCGTGAGGAGGTCCGAGACATTTTAGACTTTGCGTATTACACTGATTTGATAGTGTTGATTTTTCACTAATGGGCTCTATGACTTATATTAAAATGTTTTATCAGTTCGTGTGTTTAAAAGTTTAAGTTTGGTTTGGGCTAACGGTTGAATGATATTTCTGGACTTTGAAAGTCCAAGGCCCAAGTGAACGATTGATGTGGCTCGTAATATAAGTTTATTTCTTTTAACCATGATAGCGATTTTAAAATTTTAAGGTTTCTTCTTTTCTATCATGGTTAATCATTCAAATAAATTGTTGGATTTAATCTAAAATGGTTTTGAAAGAGCGGTTGTCACATTGAACACCCCTAGATCCAAGGTGCTTCCAATTAACTCAACCAGTTTGGTGAGTTAACCTGGCTTCCTCTTTCATCTTCTTGTTTTTTTTGTTTAAGGTTATTTTGATGACAAACTCTTTTTATCTTTGTCTAGGTGGTTGATAATTATTATTTAGTGATTGAAGAACTGTATGGAAAAATATTTTGTTATCATGTATCTATTTTAATATTTTGCTAATATGAATACTTAGTAATTTTAGCAGCATGATATTGTGATTTAAATTTGTTAAAAGAATTACCAAAAAAGTTGGAAAAAATTGTAAATATATGATTATTGCTAGTGATTCAAGATACTAAATTGATATTTAGGTTTTAAATGGTATGACGAAAATTTCATTTTTTTATTTCTCATCAATTTGATCCCTGAGTCAACTCTGGTTTAACCTGCTAACATTTATCCTACTGCCTCGATCAATTTAATTACTAGTTTGATTTTTAGTACCTTGATTTAGATTTCTTAACACTACAAGGACAGAGATAAAAGCATAATAAATTTTGTTTATAAATGGTTAAAAAAATTTTAAAAAAAGGTTTTTAATAACTAATATCCATAGATTAAGGGGGTTGACTCGTGTAAAATTGTGAATTTACTGTCATTGACGTAGAGTCAGACATAGATTTGACAAGGAGAATCCAGCTAAAAGAGTGTGGCTTTATTTTATGGACCAAATGTTTGTTTCCATGTTTTTTCCATATGATCTACGGGAGTGGCTCAAATGAGCATGCAAGCATAATCCTATTACAAGAAGATTCTCACGCTGGCCACGATTTAAATTTTTTGGCAGTATATACTGGCTCATCTGGAAGAACAGATGCAGGAAAGCTATTGAAGGAATGCATGAATATGCAAGTGAAGTAGTCAACAAAGCCATCCGTTACTTTATGGAGGACGCAGCAAGTGGCAGGTATAAACACAAAATATATCAAGTACCTGAAAGAGAAGAATGCAAGTGGAAGAGACCAACAAAGGGATGCATCCACATGGATGTTGATGGCTCGGTCAATAGAAGAAGGAACGCAGCATGTGGAGGCCTCATCAAAAATGCCCAGGGCAAATGGGTGAGTGGCTTCCAACAAAATTTAGGCTATCTTTCGTCTACAATAGCGGAACTGCAAGCCATTCGCATAGGACTTCAAGGAGTTAAACAACTGAGATTCAAGAAAGTTCAGCTTTTCACATATCCCATTGAAGCTATACAACTTTTGATGAATGATAGTGGGATCTCCCACCCGGTTCGTGATGAGATTGATGAAACGCGATTGCTGATTTTCCCTGATTGGGATCTTGACATATCATAGAGAAGCTCTCCAATTTGCTGATCCCATTGTCAAGAGGGCCCACCAGTCTACTAAGGGTTCGTTTGGCTTCACGTTTGGGCTTCCAAACGTGCATCTCTACTGGGCTTTTTTCAGACCGCATGTTTCATCCTGTTTGGATCCACGTCTGCACAATCTGGCTTCTTTAGCTCAAATGGACTTCTGGTATAAGCTCAAATGCGGGGCTTTTTTTGGAGCAGCGATGGGCGTTGAGAAACCGTTACATATATTTATTAGGATGTTAAAATTTTTACCAACCTGACCTGCATGTTTTTTTTTTCTCTCAGCTCACTTTTAATACTTCATTAATAATTTAATTTTTAATACTTCATTTAAAATGGTCACATTATATATATAATTTCTTTCTAATAATAAATTAAATTTCTTTATTTTTAATAATTTTATCTTCCTTACTTCTTAAAAAATAGTCAAATTATATATATCTAATATTAGATATATACTATTTAATAAAATTCATGTCATTTTAAGTCATGTTACATGCAGACTTACTTTTACATTTATCATCCAAACAATTTTTAACTTCTCAAACTGGCTTTTTTGAAAACCCAATTGAAACATAAATCACATTACCCTATCTGACTTTTACTCAATCTGATTTCTGTAGAAACCAAATTAAAAAAAAAGTTACTTCTGCTACTGTTATCCTAGACACACTCTAACTTGATTGCCATGCTTCAAGACCCCCCTCCTTACCGTCTTGAACGCCTAGTCACAGACCTTCTATGGTTCTCGGATTTTAGCTTTTCCGCTTTTGTGTTTGGGTTTGTCCTTTTGATGTAATTTCCAAGTTTTTCTTGCCTTTTGATTTTTTTTTTTTTTAAAACTAGAATTGTAGGTGCTGGATCATCGTGCCGTTTGGGGCTGGGGCTTCGGCGCTATTAGCCTCATTTTGCCCCGCTAGAAAATCTCGGTACTAACAATCTTTGGCTTCCAATGGACAACTTGAAAATTCTTTTAGCCAGCAAGAATTGCGAACTGGAAAATCCAGTTAAATATTTTAAAATCACCTTATTGGATGATAAAAATATAAGTTTTTTTTAGATTAATATAATCTTTGATTCATTAGGTTTGTTTTCATTTTAGTTGGAATCCCTTGAGTTTTAAGTTATAAGTTTTAGTCTTTCAAAAAATCAAAATAGTTCAATTTTTAATTAAAAAAACTTGACAAATCAAAATTTGTGGAAAGCAAACTTTAAAGACTAAATATTATATTAATTTTTTTAATTATACAACGGCTATGATTCTCATATTTAGTAAACGAGTATAAAATTCCCAAGGAACACTACCGTTGCATGTCTATGCAAAATGACGTAGCACTGCATTATTTATAGTAATAAGTAATTATATTTAAAAAAATCCAAAAAAAATGAAATTGAAAGTACAACAGTTAAACACCAAGATAATTACTTAATCATATAAAAGTTAGTTGACTAATTTGAATAAATTAAAAAGACTAGTTAAGTTAATTATTTGTGATAAATAAATATTGTCTTTCTTAAAATATACTTGTTAATTAAGTAGATTAGCTAGAACTACCAAGATCACAAGAACTACTTTAAAAAATAAATAAATATAAAAAATAAAATAAATTTGAGTTTTATATTTAAAATTAAATTAAAAATTAAACTAATTCTTATATTAAGAATAGGAGAGATGGTGATTACTAAAAAACACCAAGATAATTAATAAATCTATCTTCATTTTATTAAAGCGTTTTTTAATATTTTGTCCTGTCAGTTTTCCAGCTGTTTATCCATTCTTTCGCAGCAAGGCAACTGCCGCCACTATTGGTGACGGCGGTGCGTTCTTCCTCTCCTTGCTGGAGTTGTGCGCTTTGTTACTATCGAATATTTACAGACGCTCCGCAGATTTGCTCCATTTCGTCTTTCTCGATTCTCTAATTTCGAGTAATTAATCACTGATCGGATCTCGTGCTAGGGTTTGCATATTTGCTGAGGTGTATAATTTCGGTTTGGCTGATAATTCGCTTGCGTGCGAACTGCGAGGGCATTAACATCCTTAGCAAGTAATTATTGTACATCCTGCTGTTAAACGTATTCGCAGGGAAGCTTTGGTGGAATAGTTTGCCCAGAATGGGGGAACTGATTCCGATTTACTTCACTATCTTCGCTTTATTGTGCACAAGTGGTGCTATTATTTTGGCTACTCTGCACATTTACAGGCACCTCGTGAATTATACTGAGCCTACTTATCAACGGTTTATTGTTCGTATTATATTTATGGTTCCGGTGAGTGGTTTTATGATGTTGTCTTCCTTGCTTTATATATATATATATATGTATGTATGTATGTATATGTATATTTATATTTCTTTTTGATTGTGGGCATGATCAGTATTTATGATTTCTAATATGTATTGCGCGAGAAATTCCTTTTTCTGTTGTTAGAAGTTTACTGCATAACTCGGGTGCATCCCTGTTTGTCATCGTCGACGAATAAATGGTTTTCATGGGTACTGGTTTATCATTTTGGGGACTGCATCTATGGTACATGAAATGTGTGGTATTTGTTTCCCAAAAAAAAAAAAAAAAAGCACACCTGCTATCTCATGTGATAAGCTTTCAGAGTCGCGGGATATATGAAGAGGGCGTTGTTTTCTAAATGGGGATTAGCGTTACTATGCATTCAGTTTTAATTACTGTGAGTTTTATTTTGTATGACAGGTCTATGCATTGACATCTTTCTTGTCACTCGTTCTACCTGAGAGTTCAATCTATTTTAATTCCATTCGGGAAGTGTAAGTTCATCTCAGTTTCTGTATTTGTTTTGGTTGCTCTTATCTTGTTCACATTGTATCTCGTTTTATGGTTTTCTTTATTACTGTTTCGCATCTTATATAATTGCTTCTGTGTTCTTGCTGAGAGGTTAACTTATAGCTTGTAGTAGTTTTGTACTGCCTAAATTGTATGGGTATATCAAGTTGCTAGCTTGTTATCTTACCATGGCGTCTTGACAGAGCTCAAATGTCGTCAATAAAATTTCATTTCTAGTTTATATTTTGGGTTTTACTATGTTGAATTATCTTTGCGCACTTCAGCATGCCAAACAGTGCTTTTCTTAGAAAAAGTATTGTTCATCCATTAAGCTTGTGACAAAGGGGTCGGAAGCGGGTACTGTTGCTGCAGCTGTGCTTATGTATACAATCACAAGAGTGGAAAGGCACTACCTTTAATTCCAATTCCTGGTTCTCGTCTTAGTTTGTTCTATGAGCTAGATGTTTTCCCCTCATGGGCAGTTTGTCTAGAGAGATGATTTTTGGGGAAGCCAGTTGTTAACTAGGATCAGCTTATTTATTAATTTTTATTTGCTATTGTTTCAGGTATGAAGCTTGGGTCATTTATAATTTCTTTTCACTGTGTCTAGCATGGGTTGGTGGTCCTGGAGCAGTGGTTGTAAGTTTGGGTGGTCGGGTTCTGAAGCCATCATGGTATCTGATGACTTGCTGCTTCCCAGCTATTCCGCTAGATGGGTGAGTCGTTTCCTTAAACATGATCCATATCTTTGGATTTAAATATCTTATGATTGAAATAGTTGTGATTCTATTTCCTCAAAGCTGCTTCCTTCTTGATAATTGTAGAGTAATGTTTCTTTGTTTCTTCTGTTGTACCTTTTGTAATGACTGAGTTTGAGTTTTAATATTATTCAGCTTTCATTCAATAAAAAGAAATCTTGATCATATATCTTAGTTCTTGACATCTCTTATTTTTGGGACTTTATTGCAGGCGTTTTATACGGAAATGCAAGCAAGGGTGCCTGCAGTTTGTGATCTTGAAGCCGATTTTAGTTGTTGTCACACTTGTGCTTTATGCAAAGGGAAATATGAAGACGGAAATTTTAGTCCAATGCAATCATACTTGTATCTCACAATCATATATACAATCTCATACACAATGGCCCTCTATGCTCTTGCATTGTTTTATGTGGCATGCAAGGATCTTCTTCAGCCATTCAATCCATCCCGTCCCGAAGTTTATCATTATAAAATCTGTTGTATTCCTGACCTATTGGCAGGTAAGTAAAATAATCCTGTGAAAAGAGGATGACTTGGTTGATCTTGAGATTGGCATTATTAGTTTGTTTGCACTAAGAGTTGTTGAACCTGCCTCCTCCCAAATAAAAAAAGGAAAGAAAGGAAGAAAGAAAGAAAATTAACGTTCTTGCAGCTATATTCTAGGATTTAGTAATTCTTACTTCAAGAAGAGACACTGGATATATTCTGTAATGAGCGAGCACATTTCTTGTTTTTAATTGCAAGAATTGAGGAAGCCTAGGTGCTGTATGATATTTTATTAGTCTATACTCCAAAAGTTGAGTTTGCTGTCTGGGTGAACATAAAACTTATAATGTATGTTTCGTTGTGAAAGTTATCTGTAGTCATACTTGTCTGTCATACGTTTAGATTTTAAATTTGTCATATCTTCTGCGTATCTCTTTCTTACAGGTATATTGTTTTTTATAATTTTAGTCTATAGTCAAGACTTCTGTACTGACTTACCATTTACTGCATCATGCTTGTCTCCCATGTTGCCCAGAATAATATTATTTCTCCGTTTGGACTGTGGATTGTCTCTCATTCTCGATTCATTCAATGGGTTTGAATCAGAGTGGTGTTGTCTTGTCCGCATTTTAGGGCGTTTTAGTTTTAGTTTTCGTTGCTGCCTAATTGAGATTTGTCAATGTTGCTTGGTACCTATTCTCTATTTACTCGATTGATTTGAACCATGGTGATTATCTTGTTCACGTTTTAGGGTGTTTTAGTTTTCCTTGCTGCAAAGTTTAGAGTTATTTGAGGATGCGGAAGAAGCTGCTCTACTTCAAAATTTTATCATTTGTGTTGAGATGCTCGTGGCTGCTGTGGGTCATTTTTACGCATTTCCATACAAGGAGTATGCGGTGCTAACATAGGTGTAACCCTTGGTTTGACAGCTAGCCTGGGGCAT